GCACCTGTAATACTCTACGGTTCCGATTCGACACGCTTTGCGGGAGATTTAGCGATCTATTCCACATGGCAATAACACACACACGTGCCCCGGCCATCTTCATCTTCTTTAGTGAGGGGAACTATTTCAAATAAAGGTTAATATTTACAGAAGCGCGCATCCGTCTTCAGTGGAGCACAGTGGGAAAACTTTAAAATAAAACAACTCAAACCGTCGTGATGTACAACTACAAAGCATGCTCGCATTTAAATATAAATCACCTCATTTCACATTTCCAAATTACAAGACACAAGCAGCCTTTTAGCATTTGCAGAGTTAAGAAAATTGAAATGATCCATTAGCTTTGATTATCAAACAGGCTTAATAAATGTGTCATTTTTCAGTATCCTCTCAAATTAAAATTGCCCAGTGTGTATTTTCAATTGAGTGTCTGCTTCTGTGCCAAGGAATTATTCTCCCCGAGGAATAATTCCAGCTACCAAGTAGTTACAAATCATGGAAATGAGATGATGGAATATAGAAGAGAAAGGCACTCAATGCTAAATCATTAAAAACGTACTTTCTTTACCTCGGCCCCAGAGCAACGCTTCGCATGACATTAGCTGGCGGCGAGCCAAGCGTGAAGGGGGCGAGCCGTGCGGGGCTGTTCTGCGGTGAAAGATAATTCTTTTAAAACTAAGGGCAGTATCCTAACAACACAGTCGTGACATGCGGCAATAAAACAGATTTAAAAGGTTTTTAATACAATTTGAATGCTCTAAAATCCGGTAGCACAATATACTTAAGTGCCAGGAGGAGGGAGTCATTCACAAAACTACTGTCACTTCTCTGCTGTGTTAGCTTTGGATTCCAGTGATGCTTCAATCAGAACTTGTAAAAAGAAGGAATAAAAATCTGGGAATTTGTCAATGAGCCCCATCGCAATGCATCACAACAAAGAAAAAAGAAATCAAATGGAAAGAAAATCAACTTTCGGACTAACTTTATGTATTTTCAGCCCCTTTTTCTTTCCATTTCAGCGGTTTAACTTTAAAACACAGAAAAAGTGACACAGACAGGTAACCGCTGTTCAGTGCCAAAGAAATGAACATCATAAATCATAAAATGCTGCTGCTTTAAAACGTTGCAGGCAATAAAGAAAAAAGTTCAGCGCTTTGGGAAGCGTGGCAGTTAAATGCAGAGACTGAAAATAAATAAAACATCATTCTCTCCAATCTAGTTTTTCAAGTCGCCAATTCGTAAATCAAAAAAAAGAAAAAATGTTTATATGAAAAGGTAACAAGACAAGATACAAATACAGCAGGATCAGAAATAGAAAGATGTTCTTTTAAAAACATATTTTAAAGTTTTTAAAAAAGTGCTCTGTTTGCATTAGCGGCTAGAAGCTGGATACAGTGCAGGACAAACTGCTGAAGCAGGGAGGAAAGAGAGGAAATGGAAGGTGAGGTCACGAACTTGATTTAAATTCACCATGTTGTAAACGTTCATGGTACGTGTTTTAGCTTAGCGAGCTGTCAACACAGCCCTGGGGACTGTGTGTAACAACTCATTCACAGGGGAAGAAGTTTGAAAGGTGCAGCAGAAGGTGAAGTGATTGAGCAGCTGAAGACTGTACAGACACTACGGAGGAATTACAAAACAGGGGTGCAAAGAAAGAAAAGAAAAGAAAAAAAACGGCAACAGAAGGAACCGTTTGTATAATGAGCCAAGATGGAGGAGTTGATTATTTTCAACTTCTGACATTTTGTAATAATTTCCCAGCCAAATAGCACAATTTTATAGCTATGTGTAATGTTACTTGTCAAGCCCGAGGTTCTCTTGGTACAAATTAACAGTGGAATAGAGAAATTAAGTCAATGAAGCAAAAACTTAACAAAAGACAGTCGTGTCAGAAACAGAGTTCGGCCCTGGCAGCAGCTGTGATTTAAAGCCCCGTGTCAGCAATCCTGAATATAGCAGTTTAACAAAAAAAAAAAGCCTTCATTGTAAAAGGTTTAAAAATTCAGGGTTAGATATTGGTTCTCCTCCTGTCGCCGTCCTCAGCTGTCTGAAACTGCACGGTGAGGCTGGATGTGCTCCCCAGATCATGACAGTGATTAATAAATAATAATGGTGAGATCAGGGGGACATCACTGAACGGCTATTTATATCCACGGAGCAAATTTAACCTTGACCTCCTTTTTGCCCCCCCACTGTGACCACACTCGCCTTCCTCGAGCCAAAGGGTCAAACATCACATTTTCACACGTCTGCGTTTTCTCATAACTCGGACTTAAATGTGAAATTTTCTGATCCGGTTCAGTCTTCTGTCAGTTTTTGCCATCAGCTTCGCAGACTGCACGTGTTGCCGGCACGATTGTGCGCAAGTATAGAAGGAAGATTAAAACGCCTAAATGTGTGCCATTGATAAAGTTTTTATACATCGTGCATCGCTTTGTGTGGATCACAGCAGCTCTGAGGGGTGGATGAGAGGCCACAAACTCAAGCTTCTCGCTCCACTGTGGGAAGAGTTTAATGTGAGTCGTGTACGATGTGCGTGCATGTATATATGTGTGTCTGCGCAGGTGAGCAGAGGGAGCAGAGCAGGCAGGCACGCCGGGTGCCTGTGAGGTCAGGGGCTAGGTGGAGTGTTAGCGGGAACGACACCTGACAGCAACTGGGTGGATGCGCCCTGGCAGTTCTGTACATTCATGTCACTACTGATAAGAGTCAGCACCTGCTGAGCAGGAGAAACTCCAGTGCCGGTGCCACCGGGTCCTCCATACAGGGCAAGGAGAGGAGGATGTGAACACTTCCTTCCGCCTGTCCTTCCCTGTCCCTCCAATGCTCACTGAGCAGACAAGTCGCGACAGCTGTGATGGCCATTGGTTGGGCAGGGGTGAAGGTGCCAACCTTGTCAATGCCAGAGGTGGGAGCAAAGCTGCATGGCACCACCTGATTTGGGCTTGGAAAATGAAACCTGGATGCCTCTCTTTGGGTTGTGTAACAGCCAAGGGCAAAGGGAAGTCTACAGAACTTTCTCTGTTACTGTAAATGTAGCTGGACGGTTACATGTGTTAAGCAATCGGGCTCGTGTGCTGAATTTCTTCAATGGATCCGTGTCAAAAAGTTAACACTTACTAAAAAAAAAAGTGAAAGCAAACATGGAGGAAGGTTGAGAGGGGGATTTTTTTTTCTTTCCAGGTACTTCAGATTCCTTCCACTGTCCAAAACCCTCTGGATGGAAACTTCAAAAAGACCCCCTGTAATATAAAAACAATATTTCAAACTCTGACAATGTGTGTCATGCGTGCAACTGACCGTTTTCGCTGAAGGATCTTTGCTGATTGAGCGTCCAGAGTGAAGCTCCAAAGGATCAAGCAGGGATGATGTTTTGATGTCGGACACCAAACTTACGCTAAACTTAAATAAGTGGCAGAACACCAACGTGACAACACTTTTCTTCTCTCATTGTGGGAAGAGTTCTGTTTTCTACAAGTATCTGACCCTTTAAAAACAGGCACACAAGCCAAACTTAGTCTAAATTGTTGACTGGATGATATTTGGCAAGCTTGGCAGCAAACCTTACATTCCTCCAAATCACTTTCCTCTATAACGTCGGTAAACACAATAAAAGCAGCTTCTTGTCAGTACAAAACAATCCAAATTCACCTAACGCTTGATTTCGGCCTCAGTTTGTGCTGTTATCAGAAGCTTTCTATTAGCACAGGTATCCACTCTGCGGCTGATAAAAAGCCACATACTGCCACCTAGTGGCCACTTACTGCCACACACAGGGAACCCCCTTTATATTAGTCTCCTGCTACATTTATCACACTCCCAACGCAGCCACAGTGTAAAAATCATAACTTTAAAACTTGGCAGCAGTCAAAATAAACAACTAATTATCTTTTTTTATGACTTTTGCATGTGCTGCCTGCAAAGCAATCCCCTCTTTAGTTTTCCTGAGAAAGAGCTGATCTGCAACTTCTCTGTAACCCAGAACAAAACGGAAGTAATTGTCCAATGGGTGGGTTGTTTTCCCTGCCATTTTTTTTTTTCTCTAAACGACTTAAAATGAGGCTCCCTTAGCGCTTATTGGTGCCGTAAACAAACTTGGCATGTCACTGTAGTAATAGCCGGTGGAAAAACGTCACCTCCAGGAGTGAGGGGTGTGGAGGAAGGGAGTATAGGTTGTAGTGTGTGAGTGTATATATATATATATATGTGTGTGTGAGGGGGTTGGTGGGCCAGTGAGAGGAAGAAAGCGGGGGAGGCTAAGTTGGACGCATGTGCTGCAAATTAGGCTTTGGTTAGGCAGCCCCCCCACCACCACCACCACCACCCCCATCCCCTCATGTTGGGAGCAGCAGAAGGAGACAAGAGCACGGGTGTTTCTGCATGGCTGCAGACCGCTGCACCTTGGGGGGCTGACCGACCCGGGTGCGAGAGGAGGAAGCAGAGACAGCAGGCAGTGACGAACACTTGCTCGCTCGCTCCTTTCCCTCCCCTTCTCCCTTCGCTCTTTTGCCCAATCCGTAGCCCCCCGGGGAACCCTCGCACGCACTTCTAAGCAGCCTCTGTATATTCACTCCCCATGCGAGGAGGCTTCAGTCGCTCTTTTTCTTATATAAGGGCCTCTCTTTCCCCCCCACCGATGTGTTTGAGGCCCGCCGTTTCTTCATCCCACCCCCCCACCACCACCACCTCTCAACTCCAACCACTGTTGAAAATTTCTCTCCGGGTGGGAGTCCTCGTTGAAAATAGCGGCCTCATTTTTTTAACAGGACTACAGCCAGATAGCTTCTCAAGTTTTTCCTCGACTGATAAACACAGAAGCAGGTTTTCTAAACATTTTACTAAACCCTTACTTTTATCTGAAAGCTTTTTAATTAAGTTTTTTTTACCCAAATGCTTGAACACACACTTCAACTGAAAGGGGAGAACAAAAAAAAAAAAAACAGGGATGGATTAAAATCATTTCCTCCCCCCAACATCTTCCAACTTGCATACGACACCAGTTTTTTTTTGACAGATTTGGAGTTTATTCACACATAACATACTACAGTGGGTAATGTATTCAAGAAACACTGAACAGCGCTGTCATATATGACACAGGAGAAACAAAAAAAAAGAAAAAAGAAACAAAAAGAAAACAAAAAAAAAGACACAGAACCCTTTCTTTGCCATTATATAAAAATAGTGTTGCTACAAAAGTATAAATTAGGTTTACTAATAAGACAACTCAGATCTGAATCAGGAATCTGCTGCCAAAGTGCGATAAAAAGACAAAATGAAGAGAATCAAACAGATTTTTTTCTTCTTTTTTTTTTTGCTTTAGCAGAGTATAAAAAGGAAGAAATGCCTGTAAAGTAGGATGAAAGCAACACTAATTTCTTAACCTGAATTGATAATACAGACTAGAGTTGAACAGAACAGATCTCCATGTTAGCATTCTTATAACCACGTTTTTCACAACTGAACTCTTTTTTTTTTTTATTAATTATCTGAATAAGTTAAAATCCTGAAACAAAATAAAACTTACAGCTGATTTCAGTTTTCTAGTAACAGTATCTAAGTTGAGTTTTTTCTTCTATTATATCAAAACCTTTTTTTTGAAATGCTACTGTAGAAAAAAGAGGTATAATGTTATTGGTGCTCCCTACTTTTATCTCTGAAATGAAGGTGCCCCCTTGTGGCATAAAAACAGCAGTTCTCTTGTATTTACATAATACATCCTCTGAAAATGGATGATGTCAACCCATAAACACCAACCCATGATCAGCACAGCTACTCCCACCTTGAAAAGGTTAAAATTCAGTCCGGGGTCGCTTTGTTTTTTTTTTTTGACTCGTAATGAGCGTCTTTAAGTAACATCAACTCAGAGCCAATATGATTCCATCTGATGAGAAAACACTGGCTTATAACATTATATATCAGTACTCTTATTAAAAGCATGCATATCTTAGATATAATTCTTATTTAATCAAACAAAAAAAAAAAAGAATGCTATTTCTAAGTAAAATTAAGTTGACATCATTACGTCAACGATGGCATTTTTGTCCCAGAGCATATCCTATTGAAAATACTTATTTAAAAACTGTAAGAAAAAATCCCTTCATCAGTTCAGTCGAGGATCACCGGTTAAACCACAAACCAATGTACAGTATTTTGACTATTTCTTGGAACGAGCCTTTAAATTTTGTGTGTGAATATCTGATTTTTATTCTTCTTCAATCTTTAAATTACAACACTACTTTCCGAGTACTGAGGTAACACATTGGATTGGTACTTAGAAAATTAAATTTAAATACAATTTACAGCAATTTTCTTTTATTACCAAAATATATTTAAAAAAAAGAAAAAGAAAGGAAATATTTTTAACAAACCATCAGGGAGAAGAAAAGCATTTATGAAACACTAAAAATCAAAGCTTGGAGGTAAGGAGAGCTACAGTTCATTAAGAAGCGCCTTATGTAGTCGTGAAACGATTCGCAACGCAGAGCCTTTGACCTTTAATTAATTCAGGTGTTTCATACCTTTAATGCCACTCTATCAAAAAGCTGACAAATGTTGTTGTGTAACTGAAAACTAACACGATTTTAATCGGACGAAAAGATTCTACTTTCAGTAAGACCGTAATCCGACATTTGGCTTCGTACTCATAACGTTCACCCTTAAAACTTCCTGTTTGTTTTATTAACGATTACAGCCTCGTTATGTCTAATTGAACTGCCATTAAACTGGTGTAACGATTCCGACTGGACTGACTCTGGATGGTGGATAAATACTGATCACTATGAGGGTGACGAAGCGCTAGAACGGGTACGATGTATCGCTGTTTCTGTTGAACGAAAGGCGATGACACTGAAACAGGAAACGGATGCTTAAAGTTACCCATTCAGTTGAAATGATTAAGCGAATATTCATAAAAGTGTAACACGGTCGTACCTTCAGTTGCATCTAAAGCTGGGCAACGTGAGGGAAATAAGAATAATTTTACTGTTGATAATACCATTCTCAGTTTGTCACCGTGATGGCAAAATTACCCCCCAAAAATCAAAAAAACAAGTGTAGCAGTCAAATCACAGAACTGCACCGCAGCCTTTAAGATCAAAACATAATATTCAAGCTGCACCACAACTACTAAAACCAAATGAGAGTCTCACATCACAGTTTCGATACATCCTCCTGCGTAAACCCCGATAAAAAGATCTCTCTAATCTACGTCATTCATCATCTCAGTATAAGTTTGTACAGTGGATACCTGTGTTTCGGTGTGCTATTGTTGAAGTTATTATTGACCTGTTTTATGAAAGCGAGAGCAACGCACGCGTGCTCCGTCGATGCGACCTTTTTATAACTCGTGACAACATGAATAAAGCACTTGTCAAATACCACAGTTGTGCATGATTTTAAAAAGTCCTCGTTTGAACACTAGAGGACGCTGTTTCCAACCTTTGAGTCTACAGGAGTGAACAAAACAAAAAAACAAAACACTAACAAGCTTTAGAAAAGATGGTCAAAAGAAGGCCATTTAACAGCAATATAAAGGCATGATGTTTGCTCTGACTTTTAGGATTTAAGGTGATCGCATGAAAGAGACTTAAGGCCCAAAAAACAGAGATAACAAACTAGTACTTGACGAATTAGTACCAGAGGCAACAAACAAATTTTACAGTTATAGCTTCCATTCATCCAAGTCATTTTTCGGAGGTATTAGCTCAAGTAGATGTATACTAGAATCCATAAAAAAATAAATAACTTGACTTCATGAGTATGCATGTGTTGACTTTAGTGAATGCACTGGCTGCATTTTGTTTTTGTGCTGTAAAAAATAAACCCTCAACTTCTTTTTTTTTTTTTTCCTCGTTTGTTGCAAATGGCACTAACTGCATTTGGGGGTGGAACGTTTCACAAAAGTCACGGTTCAGTACATACCTCGGCGTTGAGGTCACAGTTTGGTTTTTGTTTTTTTTTTTTGTCCTTTTTTTTTGTTTTTTTTTTGTCGGTACAGTGAGGAAAAAGTGGCGGTGCCTGCTTGGATGTGCTCATTCCTGAGAAAATCCCATTGATTTCACAATAACATAAAATAATTTACGGTTAATAATCAACTGTAGGAGTGTCGTGAGAACAGTCAGTTGGAAACTATGCCCTGTGTTAAAGCTTATTGCCTTGAAAATGGAAAAAAATAATAATAATTGTAGCTCACATGAGGAAGACGATGTTTATATTGAGAATGAGAAATGTAGAAAGAATAATAAATAAAGCTTTCCTATGAGCAGGTTTTCTATTCAAGCTTCAAATAAAACAAATACACACACACACGTGATGATTGTTTGCGATTATAAATTAAAATCTTCGAGCTTAGCAAGCTGTCGGTTAATAACGTTACTGCTGTTTAATCTGAGGTTAATGCGCAGGCAAAACGTCCTGCGTGTAAAAACAAAACAGAAAGTGTACAACTTGTGTTTGACTCCCGAGCGTCTGATGTGGAATTCCTGAATTGTCAGCACTAGAAACTGTCATTGAGCAAGTAAAAATGGCCTTACGATGTTGTAATTGTGTTTTTACTAAGATACAGTTGTACTGCAACATTAGAAGGATGAGAGAAGGAATAATTATCCAACATGTTACTTATTCCCTGTGGGTGCGCTTCAGCTGCAATATGAGGCTGAACGAAATCAATAAAAACTGGCCACCAATGTTGCGCTTAACTCTTTGTACAGCCGTCAATTAAACCGAACCAGAAGTTTAATTTAGTTCAAGTTAGCTTCATTATTTAAGTCTAGGAATTTGTGTATCTAGCAGCGTTAGACCTCTCGAGTTGATTCCGGAAACCAACGACTGGACGGCTTTCCTTTACGGCGAACAAGAAGCGTCGTGGAATATCTAATGTCTTATCAGTGACTTTTTACCCTTTTGAATGAAACAGATATGCATCCAGTGCACGTAAATCCTGCGCAGCTACACTATGAGGACGTCGAATTAGCTGCAGTGATTTAGCTCTCAGCTATCTGCCCGTCATCTGTGGCTGAAGAAAAAATATAGTTTTCAGTGATACATGATCAGAAATCATAAACCTAGTGCACTTAGTTGTCAGAGGAGTAATGGCAGTGAAGATTCGCCGCTTGATTCTTTCCGTCATATACCGATGAAAATGAAAACTCAGCAACACGCTGTGTATGCAGCAGCGCATCGCCGATATATTCCTGTCGGATAGCTTTAATAATCTGGTAGGGTTGTTTCCAGAGGTCTATGACGGTAGCTTCAAGCGACGAATGCTGACGTAACCTGAAAATGTTGCCACCCAGTGAGAATAACAGCATTAGAGCCTTGTAGCAGTTTAGTTATTAGGCTGGAGTAATTCAGATCACTGGCTGTGACAAGACCAAACTCATCCTGCTTTGTGTGTGCATCCCAAACCGAGGGCAGCGTACCAAACGGGACAATCTTTTGAGTGACCGTTCCACCCCTACATTTTGTCCACAGTACTTTACAACAGTCCTTTCTCCATACAAAATATGTAATAAGCCGCATTGTTTTATGGGTGTTTGCAACCTTTACAATGGTGATTTGTTTTTTTTCTGTAAATATCTGTCTTGAGAAGTTTTCAATGTCCATACACATTTATGTTTACAGTTGGTCTAAATCTACAGTATATAAATAATAGTCTTGAGTCATTGGTTGGAGGTGAAGGTTTGGTTGTTTAGGGTTGGTTGGGTTTTTTTTCTTCCTAGCCCATGTTAGAGCGAAGGAAAATGAGTTTGTTCATCTCCTCAGCAGTTACCTGCTGCCTCCTCTTCATGGCCAGGCTCTGCTCGCACACAGTCACGCACTCGCTGCGTATGCCCACAGCGGGCACCGCCAGGAGCCACAGTGCCAGCCGAGCAAGCCTGGGGAACTTCTCACCCACTGTTGCGCTCCAGTACTGGAAGAGATCAGGTGTACCTTGGAGAAGAGGCTCAGCCAGATATTGGAATATCTCTTGTCTAACTTGGCTCTGACTCTCATCATTACCGGACACTGTGCAGGATGAGGAGGATCCCCTTGAGGGGCCGCCGTTGTTTCCACTTCCCTCTACGCGGCTTATTTTAGGGGTGGGTGGGCCATCAGTGTCCCGCTCCTCGCCACCTGAACCTCCACCACCTGTCATACCTCCATCCCTGGTGTCGGAGGCCATTTCGCACGCACGAGAGATGATGTCCTCGTGCTGGTAGGCCGGCACTGAGCGCAGCTTCAGCTGTGGGTCCAGGACCATGGCTACCTGGTGAGCTCGTTCAACCTGGAGACAGAAAAAGATTGCTCACAGTCAGTCCTTCCAATGGACAATGACTTATCTAAACTCAGCTTATATTGAGAGTTCATTTCTGGGTGTTTTTGGTAACAAAACATGGATGTAAAATTGCAATAAGTCCAACAAAACTAAACTAAAAACTGGCTTTGGTACATTTCAACAATAGCCAGCACTGCACTACAACGTGTAAGAATAATCTTAACACTTGTACAGCAAAGTGGCTTTTTAAGACACCAAATGTAATCAGCAGTATTTCAGTACCTTGAAGTTTTCCTTAAGTGCTTCTAGGAAATAGTGGCAGAGTTTGCTAGCTGTGCCGGTTCCAGCCTCTCCAGCTTTAGATGTAAAAAACTTCTCCAAGCGTAGGTAGACAGGCAGCACCTGCTGTAGGGTTGGCCTCCTCTGGCTGCTCAGCTCCAGAGCTGCCAGGCGCAGAGGTGCCAGCAAACAAGCCAGCGTGCCCAGCAGATGCTTGTTGAGACCTTGGAGGAGTGGAGCTGTGGCCTTACTGCGACCGTAAGCCTCGCAAATGTGTTCAAAGTGGGCATGGACCTGCAGGAGAGCTTCGGCCATACGATCCCAGCAAGGAGGGGTGGGGCATTGTGCAGGGCTGCCCTGAGAACCTTCCTCAGTTGTGCTTGTGGATGTGTTGGTGCACTGCTCCTCGCGAAGAGCCAGCGTGGTACAGGAGGCGATATCTCTGCATGTAGAGAGAAGCTCGGCCAACTCATGAAGCCCTCGAGCCTGGAGGCTGCGCTTCCCGAGGACAGCCTGAACGACGGCACCGAGGGAACAGCCGGCGCATCGCAAGCATATCCTCCCGCGGCCGCCACCTCCCAGGGGTGATCCCGAAAACCCCGCGCCCCACACTCTGGGCTCCGAGACGTACACGGTGCGAATGTCTGACATCACAAACTCAGACAGCACATTCTGCACCCAGTGGTGAACCTGGTCGGGGCCTTCCCTCAGCTCGGCCTCCCTGACGCCGAGCACATAGCGCTTCAGTCTTGACCCCTCCACCTGGTAGGCCGTTAGGACATAGCAGGCGTCTGGGCCAGACGTCTGGGCGTGGCAGGTGACAGCGATGCCGAGCGACGCATTGGAGCCCAGAGCACACGTGACCTTGACTTTGACTTGGTTGTACATGCGGGGCAGCTGGCGCAGTGCCAAGGCACTCATGTTGCCAAGAGCATCACGGGTGGAGTAGGCACCATGACGAGCACCTGTATCCACGAGGGTCTGTGCCAACTTCAGGAAGTCCTTGCTGTTGAGCACATTCAGCATGCTCAGATCTGAACACATTACCCGTAATAGACGCTCAGCCACCTGCTGTCGCTCCTTCTCAGGTAGTCCATTATTCTCTGCCAGGACAGACAGCAGATGGACGGATAGGAAGGCAGAACAAAACATAAGAAAGATAATTAGTGTTAATGTTTTTTTTTATTTGATACGCTGGCAGAAAACACTGGGTATCTTAAAAGGAAAATGGAAATACAGAATCATAGAGACATGGCACTAACAAACCTAATTTATGTAACATTCCCCTTAAACTTAGGGAGAGTTTACAACTAATTCTGGGCTTAAAATCTTAAAAGTGCAGCAGAAAACAATTTGCATGCCAAAATGTATAAGAATACTTTCTGTTTTGACCTTCAATTTGCCGTATACAGTAAAGATACAGACAGCAGATGCATGATGAGCGAGAGAGGGCTGTGACATCAACAAAGGTGGCCTGAGGGAACCAAACTAAGGATGTTGTTTACGGCACGCCCCTCGTCCACCAGGCGTAATGAAGTTGCGGTACTTACGGCTGAGAGTATGGTTTCTCTGGGAGATACTTTGAGGCTGGATTTGTAGTTTAACTGAGGAATGGGCCTGAGCCTGAGAACCTCTCCACAGCTGCTCTTGAGGACCCGAGGCTGAAGAGGTTTTGGGAGAGTCCCCTTTGGTGTGGTTCTCATTATCAGCTGGGGAGAGAGAGAGAGAGAGAGAGAGAGAGAGAGAAAGAGAGAGAGACAGAAGATCAGGCAGGGTTTGCCAGAAGTGTTTGGTGTTAATGGAGAAAGTTTATCTTGGGTGTTTCCACTGGAGGAAAATGTAAAGAACAAAAACCATGACACGAAATTAAACAAAAATAACTGGCAGCAAAAAGAGATGATATAAATACCTTACTTGGCCTCCTTGAGTCTATAATTAACAAATTATGCCTTTCAAAACCAGTTGTGCCAGTTTATAAAAGAATGATCAAGCGAATTGTTTTCTCACATAAGATCAGCAGCAAATCTTGTAATTAACTCACTGAAGCCAGTCTCACAGAAACAGTTCCAAAGCGACAATCTAATAGCAACACCAACAGCTAGAAAATCATCAGAAATTATTAATTTGTTTGTAGTGCCTGAGTAACTGTGTTTTAAAGACTGTCCAAATAATAAATGCACAATTAGAACTACATGCAAGGATAGGCAACATGACGCGCACATAGAAGGGTAGCTACACTTAAGTCAACGAATAAGATACCAAACGTTTCGCAGTCGTAGCTTCCTGGTAGCATTTGCTCGCTATCCTTGTTTACATAGCACTATAAAAATAATGTGTCCGAGTGGCAAGTCTGAATAATTGCTGCAGTAGCTTGATATTGGAATTGATCATTTCTGACATTTTATTTGTTTAATGGTTAATTAATTGAAAGCAGTAACTACAAAGCAATGTGTATATGGTTACATGAATGATGCACTGACAAAAACTACTTCAGCAGCCTCAGATCCAGATCTGCAACAACCCTCATAAAGACAATCTTTTCCTGGAACTTTGCATACAAATGTTGTTAACAACAACTTAAAGTCAGCACTTCTGTACACAAGTAAGGATTATGTGTCATCATTGAGACTTTAACATGCATTGCAGCCACCGAGGGTGTGTTCACATTCTGTCTCTTTTTTCTTTTCTTTTTTTTTGTTTTTTTTTTCTCTCCCCCTGTCGAGCTTATCATGCATTTGTTGTCGTGGACTCACCAGCGTGGGACTGCATGTGCTCCAGCAGGTTGTTGTAGAACTGGAACTGGATGCCACAGGCACCACAAGTGTAGGGTTCTAAAAAATCACAAGGCCCAGAAGAGCATTGACTCTTTGTCAGAGGCAAAAAAAAATGAAAATACTGTGCATCTGTCCACCTGGCCACTATTATCCCTGATCTGTGCTGGATCGCTGCCAAATGCAGCCGCTCTGAAAGTCGGTCCAACCAAGATGTCGTCGACTGGGTGATATTTTGCGGCTTACAGCGACTCAATTTGCAGAAGCATTCCTGAAATCTGTGATGTAATTTTCAAAGGGTTCTGGGCTACTTTTAAAATAATTGCAGCAACGTATAAAAAAGCTTTTCCAGGGGTTTAAGGCACTGACCATGTAATGTAATCACGATGCAACCAGCCCTGGTCAGAGACAATCCAACAACTTCCCCTTATATCTTGTCTCTCTCTACAATTCCTAATGACATCAATATCCTGTCTATTAAGGTCAAAGAAAAGGCATCTTTCAGATCTTTAAAAAAAAAAGACATGTTCTAACAAAATTTCCAGTAATCTTTGTCCATCAAAAGCAAACCTTGTAACAGTATGAGTCAGCCAAAGCTTCGTTGTCAGTCATTACACAATCATATCTGAACACAATACAGAGACTAATGTTTACCATCTTGTTTAACCATTTCCTAGTGATAATGAAGATAAACAAAGGAAAAGTATATAATCACAATGGAGTACAGATAAAACTGTTTACACCGAACAATGACAGACCAAAGAAATTAAAGGATACCGGGGGAAAAGGTGAAATGAGAAGGAGGCTGCATGCTTTTCTTTTTTTTGTATTTAACAGGAAGGTGGGGTTGGACTTACTCTGTGTTGTAGAGAATGTGCTGGCCACCAGAGGGCTCGGAGTTCCTGTTGACAAGAGCACAGGGAGGAATTTAACACTCCAAGCACTGTGGGCAATGATGCATCACTCTCGTCCCTTTCTTTATTCTATCAGTGCATCAGTAGTGTTTAGTGTGTGGGTTTTTTTATTATTTATTTGTGGGAGCATTTTTTTTTTCAAGCAAACAGGAACCCAGAACATCAGATAACTAAACGTTTTATTGAGAACAAGCTGTAAATACCATCTAATAAACCTTGAAAACGCTTTCAAGGCTTCGTCTGGAATGTCACAAGGTCTGGTTTGAGCATCACTAAGACTGCTATAAATAAAATGCTTTGACATTATTGTGACTGATGCCAGCTTTATATTAAAGCCCTCGTACAACTATTATACATTAGTGCACAAAAAATTCAATTAAGAGCTATTTAAATAGGCAACAATCACATGTAAACTGCAAAACCCGATCGTTAATTTATCGTTTAATAGTCTAACACTGTTCTCATCCGCGTCATCAGGTATGTGTGGCTGTGGTCTAATAGATCGCAGATGATACTGTTTGCCATTGCTGGAACATATTTCTGTGCACCATTTTCCAGCCCAGCACCCTATAAAGCGGGGAGTGATGCAGACAAAACAGCATCGACAGTAAACTCAAATAAGACTTCAGTAACAAGGCATTTAACTACAAGCTTCTTTTTGATTCACTGCGGTGATGTATAGCAGCTGCTACAAGAGCCAAAGGTGATTCAACGTGATATTTAACAAGGTCTCCATTTTCATGGTGTGAGCGTGGAGTAGAATAATAATAATAGAGCTCTTGGACTTGAGTTTTATATAGTAACAATTGATGCAAGGTAGGTCACACAAGCCTCTTTACATCCAGCACTCCTCCTCCATCTCAATTTTCAGCGCTGGCATGAGTTGCAAAACACTGTCTGCAGAAATACTGTTTCTATCTATACTGACATTCACATTCGCATACACCTGCTTTTAGCACGACTGAAAATAATTCTTTTTCCCCATTTGAGCAGAAATAATACATTTCCACACAAATACACACACACACATCCATATAACAAGTGACTCAGTGCTCACCACTTGAGTTCTGCGAACTGTTTGTGTCAACCAGACTAGACTGAATCGCACTTTCGAGTTTCCGCCTGAATGGGCTGTCTGTAAGTGAAAACACAGGAGAAACAATGAGTGACAAGCCGGTGCTAAATAATGTGGATAATATTTTTAAGTCAAGCTACAAAACCCACACAACAGTTCAGATAAAGCAAAGTTAATGACATGCAATTTACACTTAATTTTAGTTTGCAGCATGCAAATCAATCATGCTAACAGCCTCGAAAAAGGATCTAAATGTTCGTATTACATTTAAATATGGGTTTAATTCCTCCTCTTCATTCCGTCTTTTTGACCCACTTCTAAGATGCGAGTGTGTGCCACGCTTTAAATAGTTCTTTATGGCAGAGTGCTTCTTAGCAGAAAGATTTGGGAGGGGGGTCATGAACCACAAAATGTGGTAGCAGTGGGGAGAAAAATCTGTGATTTTTGACAGCTAAAAAAAAATATAAAGAAGATACTGTTGGTACGTGACTATTTGTAATTAGTTTGTATTTGGTTTTACTTTATTAAAACAGAGAACATATTTAATCTGCTCTTTTTCTCTTAGCTTCTGATGAAAAAATATAATAGCTTTAAGAAGACTAATACCTGGTAAAAGCTTCTACTGTCTGTGTTTCATTTTAATGTTTTGACAATTAAGTGTTTAGTTTCTTGATGCAATTAAACAAGAATCCCATCAATCAAAATATTAAACGTGACACGACTTAAACCGAGCAATCAATCAAAGGTTAATAGCCCCTATTAAGTTCGCCACAAATGCAGCAGCAAGGTTGCTCAAAACCTTTCAGACAATCTCTTAAGGTTCCTCTTATATCCTTTCTACACTGGCGCAGTGAAATACTTCAGCCACGGTGAGATGTGCTTGAATGCATTTCCACCACACCCTCACAGCAGGTCTGCGATATTACTGTGCTGGTCTCTGCCCTCAAATCCAGCTATGCCAATACCACGGTAAACCGACTGGCTGCACTTGTGCAGTCACGTGGGCAGCAAGAGACACTGACATTTTAAAACGACATTATTCAGCAGTCCGGGCAGCAGCTGTTTGGTTTCTGTCCAGTGTGTTGTTTTCCTATTTTCTCGGCATCAATTTCTGCACAGTTTCTGACAGCGGTTTATTACCAACAACCGTATAATTTGTTATGTTGACACCATCAGCTAGTTACAAAGCAATCAGGTTCTACATCACCAAAGGAACACATGTTCAATAATGTCCCCTAATGAGCCACAACATTATCACCGGCCCTGCCTAATGTGCTGCTGGTCCCTTTGTGAGCTGCCAAAATAGCGGCGACCGACCGCAGCGTGGCCTCTGCAGGACCTGAGGATGCCCTGTGGTATCTGGCATTGCCGTGTTAGCAACTGTGCTTTGAGTGTAAGTTTTGACCCAGACACCCTGTTCATAAGTTGTCCCTCCTCAGATTGCTGTCAGCAGGTACTCACCGCCGCTGAAGGGGAGCACAACGGACAATTTGCATCTCCCACACCCGGCATCTGAACTATGATAACTGACCTACCTTTACGCACAGTCGACAGGGTTTGACATGTACTGCTGTTATGATTACTTGCTGGTGCTCACTTGTGCAAATGATATTTAAAATACTACACAGTCGTCCTCAAATGTATTCAAACCCTCCCATTAAAGAAGGAAAAATAAGTTGAAATTGACGAAGCTAATAATAAATAAAAATTCAGTGAACATCAGGACATTGCTTTGAATTGTGGTTCAACAGAAATATAAAAAAAATTTAAAAACCAAGCATGATTGGACCTGTAAACTAACCTTTTGTTGAATCATCCTTTGAGGCAATCACTGCAATCAAGTGTTTTCTGTGACTCTCAATCAGACTTCTGCACCTGTTGACAGGTATTTTGGCCCACTGCTCATCAGCAAAGCCTCTAATTTGTCCGGGACAGTTTTGTTTTGTTTTTTTTAATTATTCTTTTCAACCACAATTCAAAAGCAAGTGTCTTATTTCACTAAATTATATTTTAGCAAATTTTTATTTATTATTACTTTTTTCAGTTTCTAGATATTTGAGTGACTATTGTCAATTTTGCCTTTTCTTTAATGAAAGGGTATAAGTATATTTGAGGACAAAACAAACTCGGTGCTGTAGGGTTCTACACACTGATATCAAGGTGCAGGATGCAAACATTAGATCAAATTTAAGCCGCCACCCTCGACTGTGTGCGTGTATTCGGTTCATAGCGTTATGAGGCATGCAGGTTTTCACAACAATCAAGAAAATGCAGGGAAAAAAAAGTCATGCTCACTTTTTATCTTAGCACTCTGGCTGTGGCCAAATTTACTCATATCCATACTGCCACAATCCTGTACCCGTGATGTCTTCAAATCGAATGAGCCTGCGTCGAGAGAGATGCTCAGAGTTAAGGGCGTACAAGCTTTAAAAACAAAACACATGATGCTGATGCTCGCTCCACACCACATGTTTTTAAGGGGTGCACACACAAACAGAATGGCTCAAAAATAAGACTCCATAATTCATATTCTGAATGCTAGAACTTTTCAAGAGCAAATAAAGCACAGTAAATAAACAGACTCACTCATCGGTGTGTGAAGAGCAACGTGCTCCTGGTACGGGTTGAAATACTTGTACTGCTTCCCGCAGAACTCGCAAACATAGCTCCCGGTTTCTGGAAACAAGAAAAAAAAAAACACACACACAAACGAACCTTTTGTTTTCATCAAAATCTGTGTCGGTAATAAAAGCGAGCATCACAGTCAGTGAAGATCAAATTTTTGTTGCATTAGTTAAAAAGAGGGACAGAATCATTTTTTTTTTTTGTTAATCGTGTCTTACATCACAAAGGAGAAGCAGAAGACAAGAGGTCCAAATAGAGTGGAGGAAAAGGAAGGAGCTGGTGATTCTGATTGTATCTTTTGCCAACTGACAAAACCCATCTTTACATTTAGCAGTAACTCAATAGCAGAGAACATAGAAACACAGGGGGGGTCTCCCTGCATAGTGCGTGGAGGCTCACACTATCCACCCCCCCCCAATCAGTAGGAGTCATTAGTGCAGTGACAAGTGCAGGCTTCCCACCTGCGAACACTGCCAATTGTGTTTGAAGGGACACGTGCTGCCGTTGGTTGAACCCGCGGTCTCTGTGGAGGAGGGCGAGTGCTTTTTTCCCTGCGAAAGAGGACTTTTGGACTCATGTTCTGAAACCTTTCCAGTGTGGAGTTAACTCAAGATGCTTAGCGTTATTTTTCTAACATGGATTATGACCGTGACACAGGACCTCACATTACAAAACCGTGTTCAACACACTGAGCTGGACACAGGTGGGTTTAAGCTGTAATGGGAGTTTCAGTGCCAGGTAAATGTCACAACTTAAGATTTATGATAAGTCATGTAAATGTAGCATCAAACAAATTCTTAAAAAAAAAGAAATCTTGGCTTACAGCATCAAAATTACCCCAATTTATTCTGTGTAACACAACAAGCAGCTGCAAATTGAAGTTACTCTATCGTGAATTTTGTAATCTTGCTCTCCTTTGGCATACGTCTTCATTCAAGTTTTCACAATTTGTAGACATTTTTCTAAAAAACAAACACCAAACTTTAAAGTAGGGGTGTAACGGTACGACGTGCATCCATCCCAAACAGTTCAGGATAAGACTTCTTCATTATTTCACAGTTACAGTCAGAAGTCTACCTTTGGCTAAACACACCCTGAAAGTTTTGGCTGTGCGGTGCTTCTCGTCTATCAGCTACGGCGTGATAATAGAGCTGGCTTTAAAGCTGGTTGGGCACAATGCAGATTTTATTAAACATCTATTATGTGTTAACTCACACTATACCTTTTCAATCAGTCTTGCTGAATGGCCAGAATCTTCTCTCCTAGCTGCTTTTGTCCACGGACAAGTCTAATAAAGTTTTTTTCAAACTGGAACACTGTGTCCTCAGTGTCGACAAAAACAGTAACACAAGCTGAAATTGCTAATTGCTTGATAGTTAGTTGTCTCGATGGATATTTTTCAATGATTTTGTTTATTTTACACCTGAGAGTAATCAGGTCAGACTATTTTCTGATTGACAGCATTTGAGTGTCTTCACTGTTAATGTAACAATTATCGCCAATTAGACACCTCTAAAGGTTTTCATTTTTTTAAATGAATGACAAAAATGGTAATAATTTCTGCTTTTAGAATCAAATTACGACTCCAAAACTAAACCGTGAATTTTGTGCGCCGTTACACCCCTGCTTTAAACAAACTGAAGTACACCAGTCTTACTTGGTCCAATTTTCTGATAGGGTTCAACCGGCTCTTCCTCTTTAAGGCCATCCACAGGTAACACTACCTGTTCATATGGATCTGAGGGAAAAGTAGGAAGGAGATGAAGAAGAAATTGGCAATTATCTTCTCTGACAACACGCACATGTATCATAATATGTAAACCTGAGCTCTTTGAGATATTGTTTCCTGCATCAAGAATCATACATGTTTACCTGCTGGCTGCATTTCTTAAGTCGCTGAACTTTGTCAGATGTTATTTTAGTCGTGTGCGTAACTCCTGCTGAGGCTTGTATACTACATGTTGCTTATTCTTCCTTTTCAGGGCGGATTTAAACAGCATCACAAAACATGCACTCAAGATGAAAATAAAGTAAAATATCATGTCCCTAAATTCTCTTGACTAGCAGTTTAAACACTACAAGTACTAGCCTGTCTCAGAAGCACTTTACTTTAAACAGACTATGATTAGACACTACCAATTACGCCTGTATTTTGTAGTCTCTTAGTAAAAAGGATCCAGTTTTTCTTTTTTTTTCCCCTCTCTCTCTCTCTCTCTTTAGCATTTCACTCAGATTTTTTGCTGCCGAGGCCAGTGTGAAATGGAAAGTTCACTGAATAGCTTTCAAGCGCCAGTCTTGGGAGTTTCAAAGAAAAAAAAAAAAAAGTGCCATGCAAATTGCGCAAAAAAGCTCCTGCTTACCATCAACTGCATGCAGGTCACGGTGCTCCTGGAAGCAACTGTAGTATTTATACTTCTTGCCACAGATGTCACAGGAGTAACGGAAGCTACCTGCAGATGAACAGAGAGAGACAGCGGCCAGCGCGGTTTATACGTGACGAACACACAGACCATGGATATCACTGACAATTTGCATTTTGTGGATGACCAAATAGACTGGGGTCAATAATAACCTAATAAAAATAAAATAACACCATGTATGCAGAGTTCAGAGAGCAGGAGAGCCTGGACGTAGCGGCGACAAGTTGAATTCCACCACACAGCAGTTTAATAAGTTCTGAGCGGGGCACACCTAAACCTCCCAGTTCATGTAATGGATTTTCTTGAAAAATTCATGTGAAAACTTTCTATTAAGTTCATGGGACCTTGCAAAATCCTTAAGCTCTACGATGAATACTATGTTTTTTTTTTAAGTTATGAATTTTTTAAGTTTGGCCCTCGGAGCTCAGTTTCATCGTTTTTTTGGCGATTCTCTCCAAGGTTCAGCAACCACTTATATTTCCTTGGACTGAGTTGAAATTAGCGCTGAACATCCAACAAGACCCGAACGATCATTTGCAACTAAGCAGTTGTTGCTGGAAATTTCAGTTTGTAAAAACGATCTAGACTCGTCATCACTTTCTTGCAAGCAAATTTGGATTCTGTGCAAGATAATATATGAATCCAATAATTCAAATTGCTAATATTTCACACTTTTTACTGGCTGCAGCATTAGAACAAGTGGTAGTATTTCATAGGTGGGTATTTGTACTATGCTGCCTTCCAAGGTTTTCCATGTGTGAAACTCAGAGGTCACTTTATCGGGTGCATTTGTGAAATCTAATGTAAACAAGCACAACAGCGCTGCCTTTAATTCTAATTTTGACCGAGAAGCACTTGAAAATCGCGAACCCCGAGGTATTCCTGTTGTTTTTCACACTTAATTTGCAGTGCAAGTGCTACACGGTGCCATAAAAAGAGTGACATTGCTCTGTTTTTAGTCTTTCTGCAACAGCAACAGGGATTAATGAACAAAAAAATAAAAAATAAGTAGACGGCAGCAGCAGCAGCAGCAGCAGATTTGATTGCATGCTGACAGACAGACAGGGAGACTAAATGAGATTACATAGCATTTGAGCCACTGGGGGAAAGGTAAAGGAGAAGTTAATATTGATTTCATTATTTTGATTAGCAAAAATAGGTCTATGCAAATTACATTCCAACACAAATCCAAAGCTGCATTTTAATTTAGAAATACATTTAAACACTTAAGTATAAGAGAGAGCAGAACAAGTTTTTGAAAATCATGTGCTTGTTCATACTGCTAGCATTATTCTAACTGGAATATGGAATTGAAATTAGGACCTAAATCATGCCAACGCCATTTCATCTGTTTAACTGTGCATTAATATTGATTCTCATTTACATGTCTAAAATTGATTTAGCTTTTGCAGACGTTCCTTGTCAAGCCCATAAAGGGCTAACACAGTGAAAGGACATAAGGGATGTAGATTACTTGTTCTGCTCTTGCTAATTTTGTTGCAGCGAGAATCATTGTGCAGCCAGGTGGCTGTTGACAAGTAAGAACATCTGAAGTGTCTCTTGGCACGCCACAGTCAAATCCTGTCTGAAGGCAATCTGTTGCATAAACAGCATGGCACAGAGCAACTGTACGACAAAATCAATTTCCAACCACATTTCTCCAGTTGGTTCAGGTTTAGTCTTCTCTCCATAATAAGATGTCTGACTGATGTTGCCCCAGCAGAAGGCCTCTCACCACACACCCATGTGACAAATGTTTTATCATTTAGCAGCACGGCGACAACTTCTAAATTTTCTCCAGTCTGTTCTCTCGGGGCACACTGCTAATTCAATCAGCTGCATTCCTGGCTGAATTCCTAGGGCATTTCAAAGATGTAAATATGGTACAAAATATTTCACAGCAGAAGAGAAAAAAAACCTGCTCTGGACTGAGAGTTTATAAGACTAAAAATCCTCTCTGTTAAAGTTGAACAATATTTTGTAAACAAAGAAAGCGGCCGTTCTGGAAACGCGATTGTCTTCACGTCACACCGACCCGGTTGATGAAATTTATGCTTAACTGGCAAGAGGGAACCACGGCTACAACAGCAATTATTAGGGTGCCTGACTATAATTGCATTTATAAAACCTCAAGGCTTGCAATACGATGCACATTCTATAATTTTCTCGCCAATTAACGTGATTAAAACCACTTTCCACAAATTAGCGGATTCTTGGCATTTGTCGGCGTAATTAAAGCTCACGTAACGTCATTGCTCCGAGCACAGGTGAGGACGCGTTCGGAGTAAATCGATAAAAGTGTAGCAACAGAGATAATTGGCTATGGATGCATGATCCTTGCAGGTTAGGCTTCCCTTTACAGTTAGCTCTGTGTGCACTAACTTTCGAAACAGCCACAGACACAAACACTCCCCCCAAAAAAAGAAGCAAGGACAGTAATTAGACAAGTCCAACCGAAGACTAGACTTTTCCTTTATTTTTAAGAGACTCTGGAGAAACATCCAAGATACAAAAACCTCTAACTTCCACTGGCTTGTTTCTATAATAGTTCAACCAATTACATATAATGTCAAACCTGGGATTATCCATTATTCTAATTCATTTATGAAGCACTGTAACCATGATATTTCACATTCAAATGCCAATACACACTTTTTGCCCTCATTCACAGGTTCAGGTTGCTCAAAACTAAAAACACGAGGTCAATTTTGCATATGATTTCACAACCACACTCTCATTTCCTTGTAAAGTCGATATTTTAACCCTCTGAACCCTGAGAAGTTTTGGGAGGTTTTTGTCGCACTTTTACTCGGATGTCTGAAATTACTCGCTTAACCTGCTGCCACCGCGGTTAGGTAGAAGAAAATGGATAGATGGGACATTTTTAACTCACTGTGGGCTCATTTTAACTGCAATGTAAAGTCCTGCACCTCTATTAAAGAGCCCAACCATGGCTAGAAGAAAAGAGAACTCAACAAAAGAGAGTCAAAAGTTGAATGTATTTATCTATTTTACAAATACTGAAATATAAAAATAGAATCAACACAATATTTTCCAAGTGCCCACAGGTGTTACTAACTCTGGGGAAAAAAATGGTGCCTCTACATCCTGTAGATATTTTACTACTTACATGTTTATTTTCTTTCAATAATTGTCTCCCATGTACTCTGTAAACACGGCCTACAGTTCTGCCCAGTTAAGCTTTAAAAGCTCCTGAATTTTGGTCGCAGCTGAGTCACTAAAGGCTTTGCAGCTGAGCCGATGAGCTCAGAATTTCTTGTTTTTTACCAAATCTGGTTCGTGCACACTGTATATTTTTGCAACTTTTTAAAGTAAAACCCATAGAATAAAGTGATTTTGCTAAAATATCACAATTTCAAGTTCAAGTTTAGTTAATTTTTCCTACAGAACCAGAAATCCCATGACTAGTTCAAGGACCAATCCAATGATCCGATAAAAATGACACAATTTCTGGGATATTCCTAAAGATAACATGCTTTTCAAACCCACAAGTGGGTTTTGGAGTTCTGGGGGTTAATTTTAAAAATGGTGTAAACGGCTATGAGCGTGTGTGGGAAGCTCCATAACCATCGCTCATGTCGCTCTGACATTATTTTTAGTCTTTAATCTAACTTTGATCCCAGCGATAATCTCGGCTGCTTAAGAAACACGAACCCGTGTTTACAGGAATCCTGCTGCGATTGAACAAATTAATGTGCAAAGTTAAAGTTCCCAGGTTTCCATTTCACAATTTAAACAGATCCGTACCAACAATCTGTCTATAATCCTCCTTCAAGTCTAGGCTGTATTTCAACTGATTTAAACCCTGAAAAGAAAAAGAACGCAACCTACTCATTCATTTGCATCACACCACTCTGGTTTTTTGGCAGGAGTGCAGAAAAAAAAAAAAACATCAATGCAATAACATAACTTTGGCATTTGATTATTCAACTTACATCCTGTTGGAACTTCACTTCCTGAATGGTATTTTATTGTTTCACCGGTACCTGAGGCATCACACCGCCAGCAGCCCCTGCAGTTTTTATTTCTAACGCGGAGCTTTTTTTGGTCTGAACGCCCACTTAATCAGAGCTATGTAAAGTTTGTTCAAGCCAAGCTCCTAAAATACTCTCTTCAACTCCAAAAACTCCTCCACAACACTACTGCCTGTGTTGCTTTGCAAACTTCTCCTTGTGCTGCTAACACTTGTTCAAAGCAGGGGTATCAGTCAGCCTGGATTAATTTTTACTCAAATTGTAAAATGCAGCCTTGGAATGACCCTGTGGAGTAATTTCTTATGAATCTTGCGTTAAGCAGGCTTAGAGTCAAGGTTACAAAAATAGCCACACCTTGGCTGTGCTGCCCTTTACTTTAGCTTTAAACTTTACTTACAGATCACTGATAAGTTCATTCAGTTTTTACCCAAAAGAAAATCTGCATTTACCAACATCTACATCACCACTCTCTGCCACCTTCACTTTCACTTGGACTGCTCACAAGCAAGCAAAGTTTAAAAATACACTCAGAAATTGATATGCCAGTCATTATCAAGAGTAAAGTCTAAATGTGTGGTATCAACCAAAAAATGCTTTACAGCATGTTCTATCCTCTTAAGAATTTAATCTAATAGCGCTTTCATCGCCAAGCAGCCTCACTGGCCTACTTATTAACACTGTCACAGACCTTTTGGTTACACTGTGTTTGTATTCCTCATACAGCTTTTTTTTTTTTTTTTTTTTTTTAAACTCTTGTTCTGTCTGCATAAAGATGACTGCTCTTTCTTTTTCTCTTTGCCATGTTGATAGTGCTGCCTTTAAGCGATGTGCACATTCACGTAATGATTGTCGAGAGTGCGTGTAGGAAGATTTATAAATAACTCAAGTACTACTCTGAGGAACGAGTATTTTTAGTCCTAATCAAACTTTCACCGTGACGGTAAGATGCCTGATAAACACAGGTCTTGGCGGCTGATATGCGCTGCCATTCAAAGAGTTATATCACAATACCTGCGGGCCAGGCATTTATTTTTATAGGTAGTTTGAGGTCTACCGCAGCTAGAGGAAGTGCCGATGGCAGACAGTGAGGGGCCAGCTGTGAGGATGAAGTCTTTCAGTGGCTCGGTTTAACTAATTCCCCTTAAAACTAAACTGAATGAATTTTGTGTGCAAAATATTATTGTTATCATCCAAACACTGTGTCCAGACATGTTGTGTCACAATATTGAAGGCAAAGATTACCTCATCTAAACCATATCTAGTAAAAAAAAAGACATGTCTTCTAAATAAGCCAAGTCTGAAATAAACAGCTTTGTGCTGGCATGCTAATAAAGTTGACTTTGTTTAGTACATGAGTGTGCAAATGTGTACGTACTGTTGGGGGTTTGGGGCAGACCATCTCCAACCATGCTCTCTGATTCTATAGTAGGGGGAAAAAAACACAAAAAAAAAGAATTGGACTTCTGTGAGTTAATGCCAACGTGTGCTCACAGCTTCCAACATGCGCTAAAAACTTCCATCTTTCACATTGAAATAATTCAGAGGACAATAAGACGATGAAATCATAGCAAATGCTCGCCAAAACAGGACACGTGTGACTCATGTCGAGAAAGTGAATAATTTTAGGACCAGACTGTCAGGAGGAAAAACACAGCAGTCAGTTATTATTTGGCTTCTCACTAAGACCAAAGACATTTTTAGAAATATATATCTTACCTCTGTGTGCCCTGACGTGCGTCTGAAAGCAGTTATAATACTTGTACTTCTTCCCGCATACCCCACAAACATAGGAACCTGCGGGAAAAAAATTCAAAACAGCATCATAAAAACAAAGCAATAGTATCATCAGGAATGCATATAATATGATGTGTATGGCCGTCTTCTGTCCCATCTAATCTTCCTCCTACTTCGGTGAAGATCCACTTGCCATTAGCTTCTTAAATATTCCACAAACGAATCATGAGAAATCTGCTAATGTTGTCATAAAGCCGTGAACAGCACATTGTACACAGTTTCACTGCTCCCTGAATTTATGTCTGTCCTACACCTTGAAATTTCCAGAGAGATTTCACTCACTTCTTTCCTCGCTGCTGTCTTAAATGGAAGAATTATTACAAAACTGATAAACTGCATGAGCAAAGGCTGGTATCAGGACCAATAAAAGCCACGTTTAAATTGGTCAGTATCAGTCATATAAAGACAGCTTCTGTTTCCAAGCCTTTATTGTGTTCCAGTGATGTGAGCCATTAAAATGCTCCAAGGTACAACCTGAGAGCAGTACCAGGTTTTGACCAGGCGGCTGTAAGTGGTGTTATCTATAATCAGCTACCAGTTTATTTGGTAAGGCTAGCTACAACTAATGCAGGTTTAAGAGAAGTGTTGGTCTTTACATTTGAGTTGTACTGGATTATTATAACAGGAACATGTGATATTTGGCCCAACCCTACTACGCTGATAAGATTACAATAAATACTAGCAACACGATAACCTTCAGAAAAGGCAGGATGTATTCAAGAGCTGCTCCACTAGCCAGCTAGGTGTACCAAATAAACTGAAAGTGCATATATTTCTACATATACGATGCATACATATTGCAAGTGATTTCATTGAGGATTTTGTTAGTGTTAGAATAACCACAAAAATAAAATCTTTACCATCATCATGTGACAGTTTCTGCTTTGCAAATGAATGACAGGCGAACAACCGAACCTCTTTTATATCCCGGCTCACACAAATTAAAAACAGCACATTTTCTCAATTCCTCCGAATGTTACGATCGCTAGCCATGTGTAGATCGGTGTTATTTACCCAGGTTCTGAGATATCTATCTGTAAGATTTCAGCTGCCACCCCAATACGTGGAGGTGAAAGGAATTTCATTTGTGCTCACAGGATTGGAAAATTACATTTAAAAAAAAAAATTCAACAGCAACTGCGAGGTGTCAGTAGTTTTCATTGGGGCCATTTCTTCTCAAGAAAGGAGTTAAAACAAAAACCGCTCACAGTGACGTTTGTGAATTATCCTGGGTAACCGCAAACGATGTTTCTGAAAACTGCAACTAGTGTTGAATTTGTTAAAAAAAAAGAAAAGTAATGCTGGGGTCTGTTTTCAACAGTCAGGAAGCAAAGTCAGGGTCAAAAGACCACCAGACATGATCGTCCATATGTACATTCACACACCTATGCATGAGTCTGTGCTCTTCGTTGGAGGAGGAGTACCAAGGGCAAACATACCCTCGGTCTGAGCTCTGCGGGATCCACCTCCGCTCGTTCCTCCTTCACTTCCTCCAATGACAACACAGATCTCAGCAGGGTTGCCATCCCCGACTTTCCCGTTGCTTGTCTCCGAGGTCCCGGGTTCCTTCTTCACGGTGACGGGCGGCGGACTAGAACTCTTGGTCGTCGAGGCGTCCGTGGCTGCGCTCCCGCCGTCTGCCTGCTCCTTCCCAGGATTGGGTGCCTCTTGTGCACTCATGACTCAACCTCCTCTGAGCCTGTGCTTCTGTATGAGGAACAGAAACAGAGAGACAAACACTTTACTGCCCCTGTCAGAACATAGAGTCTGGAACGTGGCGTGACTATATGATACCAAACTAGGTGCGGGCAACGCCAGGTCGAACAGAAATGACAACTCGCTCTCTATTAAAGAAGGAAGTTGGGTGTAGAAGTCAGCATTTGGGCCGAGTGTTGAAGAGCAAAATGTCCAAAATAGGCACCAGCCTGCATTTGACAAACACAGGAGTCTAAAAAGGCCTAAAATGTGACACCCACCCCTCTTTTCTAAATGCAGCCGAGAGCTGCTGCAGCTCAAAGTGCACAGGAGACACTACAGGTAATACATCTGTGTCAGTGCAATTTTGACAACAGACAATTTTGTGTTAGCCATGAAGATCAGAGTAGCTTAACTCTTCATTAGTGACCTTTGATGGCATAAATTCCACAGCTTTGTGGAAGCCAAACGCTTTAATTTCAGAAATATCTAAATTACACAACTTGCTACTTCAGCACATGGCTATAAAAGGCCTTGTCAAGAGAATGTGCTCAAAATGCAACCAAGCAAAACAGAGTTATGCCAGGATGACTGATATTATGGAAAGAGGGGGGAAAATTGGTCTTCTAATAATAGCGCACCAATACAGCAACAACAAGCCTTTTCATAGCCCAAATACACCTTTCTTTGGATATGACATACGACCAACAAGCCTCAGCAAACAGGCCCATGAGCCGGATAACGCTGAGACACGAAACAGTTCAAATACCTTCACCTGTAACAAAATAAAAAGCGCTGTCAGCTACATCATTCTGTGCATGCAACACTCACAAGGCCTGCAAGGGTTTGTTCAGTTTCCACATCACCTTATTCAGCCTCCATATGAAAGAAACTTGAATATTTTATGTACAAATCTATGTCCAGCTCCTTCCCAGTTTTCACTGCTTAGTATTTATTAAGCGTTTAATTTGTATTTTTCTATTTTAAAGGCATTTTTTTCCCCCCAAATTCTCGTTTCAGCAGTCCGGTCACGGCGTCCGGTCTCACCGCTGGCATAAGGTGTACAGCAAGTGAGCGGTGTGTAATCTTATCCACACAGGCCGCGGACTGAAAGTGTGCCCGCAAGTAAGCTACCATTAAAGTCGCACATTACCCACGGCTCCTTGTTTTGCATTTTAACAGTTTTGAAGAAAAAATAATGTTGCTGAAAAGAGGAAAAAATCTCCAAACTACTACACTTTACTACAGAAACGAACCACATAGCTGCTCATGCTTTAATCAGAGGCTCAAGCTACAAACTCAGGGCATGATCTTTAAATCTTTAGATCACAAAATGTAAAGCCAAGCTTCTCCGTCTCAATTACAGCACAATAACGTCTCGCTGCAGCATAGGAAGTAATGAATTATATGTTTCTACAACTGAGTGACTCACTATCTTTGAATCTAAGCTAACCGCTCAGAAGTATCTGCAGTTTGTCTTGAGCCACGGCTGCTCGTGCTTGTTCTAATCAAGGTAAAGACTTTAAACTGAACATTTTTATCCACTTTGCTGGACTTCTTCCTGCTAGGCCTCTTCATATTCTTAACGTCAAACCAGCGTTCTAGGAAGAAAAAAAAAAACAGCATATCAAGCAATAATAATCAAAGCTATATTCACTTAAGTCTTTTGTGATATAGTAAATTGAAAAAAAAAAAGAAAAAGCTGAGTAGATCGCTATCAGCACGCCCCATTTTGGAAGAAGCAGACAAAAGTACTAACATGGAAGGAAAAGCAATGATGTGCTGCGGATAGGAGGATGGGAGCAAAACGTATTTTCGCCATGTAAAAAAAAAAAACTTAACCTAATCAAGCATCAACATCAATTCAGCGTACACTATAGTTAGCCGCCTTCTGACAGGGAGCTGCAGCGCTCTCTTTACAGTCAGCCACCAGACGGTTGACAAAAGCAGCCATTTTCCCTCGCGGTGCACGAGAGATGCCGGTCTACCGCCGTGCCACTTTGGTTGTTGTTGGTCCTTTTGAAAAGACGACTCTGTCAACAAGGTGCAGCGGTGAAAATATTCTACAATAGCGTAAACCGATATTGATTATTTTTTTTAGGTGGGTTTTTTTTATTTTTTTTTACATGATCAGATTAGGTTGCCATGGCGACTGTGCCCTTCTGAACTGTTCCCCCCCTCCCCTTGCAGCTACATTTTGAAATAAATCATCCGGCTGTAAGGGAAATCCATCTACAACTGGCGCAGATTTAAAAAACCACTGCCAATTTGTCCGGGCCCAGCAGTTCAACTCTCGAGCAGATGGTTTGAGGTAATAAGAAGTCCGCAAAAAAAATGTCATCCCTGGATCAGCAGGTAACTTCTGCAAACTCTGCAACTGTTGAGTGCATGCGTCTACAATCAGGCGTGGCAGGAAAACACTAACAGTAGGCTTGACTGCCGCAGACCAAATACAGCCTTTTTCTTTTTTAAAAGGAGAAGAACTTGACACAGGCTGTGAAGCACGGTGGCAGAAAAGGTTACGAATAAATTCAGAATCATATCCAAAAAGTGCTTGAATATAATGTGAGGCCATTTGAGCAAAAAAAAAAAAAAAAAAAGCTGAACCGGAAGCGGACTTTTCAGCAGGGTAATGATCCTAAGCGCACCAGCAAATCCACCAAGCAATGACTGAAAAAGAAGAAATGGAAGGTTACAGAATGACCTAGCCCAGATTTGAATCCTATTTTCCAATCCCCCTCCCCGCTGTGGAGGGATTTGAAATGGGCAGTACATGCGAGAAAACCCTCAAACATATTGCAACTGAAGGAATTTTGCATGGAAGAGTGTTCAACAATTTCTGCAAGCCAATGTCAGAGACTGGCAGGCGAAATACAAAAACTTACTTCTGCTTAAGGAGGTAAAACTAATGCTGAGGCGACAGAAGAATTGCCCAACAGTTGACTTTTTTTTTTTTTTGTTGGAAAAAGTTAAAAATGTCTTTGGGGTGTGCGAGTAAACCGCCTGTATCTATAGGAACTGTATCACAAAAGGATCAAATGTGTCCTTGTCCAAACATGTCAAAAAAAGAAGGAAAAAAAAGCCCAACTATTTCCATATTTACACTGATAAGGCCAAACCTGTTTGCTCAGAAAACTTTGGTTCTTGTTCCTGTGTTTGTACAATCGCACAAGTTTATTTCTAAATTCTTTCACTTCTGGAGTGAAGCGGATCAACAGCACAGTTGTAATCTCCGTGTCTGTGCGCTTGGCAGATACAGAAATTGTACTGGATAGATAGAACTGGGTCATCCCATCTCAAATCATCAAATTTTTAGAACAGGCTTCTGCTCGACCATCACTGGTTTCGCCTGAATTTTTCATGGCATACAATACCGATATTTATGAAGATATTTGTGAAATTTTGAGCTTGATATATTAAAAGACTTTTATTTTATTATCTCAGGAAGTGTTAAAAGATAAAAGCCTGGTGTTTCTCATCACGCCATTGATTCAGAATCTACAACATTGGACAAGTAGGTCAAACAGTCTCTGATGGTGGGTGACGGAAAAAAAAAAGTAAGTCATCGGAAAAAGCACACATTACCAAAAAAGAAAAAGAAAAATGTACATGTCCAGTCATGTTTTCTGAACCATATATAGCTGCATGTCACAATCATACTAAAACAAATCAGGTAAAAATACTTTCTAATATGAAACAACGAGTCACAAAATCAACAGAAAGGTTCCAACATGGTTCTCTACATATAACTAAGAAAATGATTCGGGCACATGTTCCATTTTTGGACCCCACTTTGTAGGCATGAACCTGGGTTTAAGGGGACCTGTCATGGATTTTGTGTAATAATTACTAATTGCATTTAGGTCATTGTAGGGCTGGACCCGAATAGCCAACTATTCGTTTGCTGTGCTGGAATCGGGATACCAATTTTGATATCCGAATACCTCCCTCCCGCTACCATGGAATCGGTGCGGTGATCGCTAACCTAAACACCTAAACTGGATTTTGTAGCCAAATGCTGCTTGTGGGTCCCGCCCACTTCCAGCCTTTCAGAGCCTGCGCGGACCCCTTCCCCGGAACGAATACCCACCCACCACCACCGCATGGCACCCCCAAATATTCGGGATATTCGTCATTAATTGGGGCCGAATATCCGGAGAACACAAATTGCTATTCGGACCAACCCTAGGTCACTGAGATGGCATCAGCATGATAGAACCACGATCAGATACAAAGATCTGTTGGGACAGTGGGGCTTTTCAAGTAGGAAATTTTCCCGCCTTGACATATATTTATTAGTAACCTGATGTACTAATGTGAGCAAGACTTTAGGGCTACATTTATTCTTGTGATTATTGTGAAAACTGTTCAATTGGATCAAAATGGCTTCTCTTGCTTTATGGTCCATTGGGAATAAACTTGGCCTTCAAGACCAATGTCACAAGCTGGACTGTATGCACAAAGTTAAAGTGTAAGTACATGTACACCTATAGTAACTGTTTAAGCGTTTACCTTCTCCATTTTTTGTTAATGTGTGCTCAAAGATGGGACTTTTCATTACAGCCTTATTTTTTTAACTCACTCATAAGCAGAGATCATTTGATCTACTTTTCTAATGTTGGATATTCTGAATAAATGACATTATGAGAAAAAACATCAGGCTTTTTATCTTAAATAGTACCTTAAGGTAGCGTCCTTCAAACATAGCCTGAAATTTTAATGTGCAAAAGATGTGCTGAAGGCGGATCGACGGGCAATTTTAAAAAAAATTTATCTCGGAAAATATTTGACATATCAATGTAAAATTATACAGACAGCAATTTAAATATCTGCAGTTTGTGATGGTGCAGAAGGCCTCTGATGATCTGAGGCTGAATAAGTCAACTATTTAAACGCTACTGACTACTCGCACAGTTTATTCAACTGGGCTAAAAACGAAGATGTGCTGAAGCTATTTCAGCTGCCTCTTTTGTTGGTCACATGAACCAGCTCTTGCAGTTGTCTGCCAAGAG